GAATTCTATTCAATTAATCCAGTTTAACCTGTAAGCAGATCTCTGTTCTCAAGGACGACTGACACAGGCTTATCCTGACTTTGGTGAAAATACAGATGAGTGCTTCACGGTACTGTACTTGTGACTTAAATCAATCCTGAAAAAAAGAGCTAGAATATTGAATTTGACAGGGTTTCAGTAGGTTAAAAAGTGAGTCAAAACTGACAAGATGAGATTTAATAGGGGTAAGTATAGAGTCCTGAACTGAGGTTAAAAAAATGAATTGTGAAGCACAGTATCAGAGACCTCTCTTAATAGCAGTTTGTGTAAAAAATCAGTAGGACGAGCTCCTAAATGGAAAAAAATGACAAAAGTCAAATGAATTTTATATTATTTAATAGAAGTATAATGTTCAGAATAAGTAAGGTCATTATCTCATTTTACTATGCCTTGGTCCTTGATGTCTAGATTTATGTATAATAACTAAAGAGGCATCAAGGTACTGACTTCTATCTAAAAGAAAAGTGACCAATAAGAACTATAATTATGCCATAATAATACCTACCTAATATTTGTTGAATACTTGCCATGTGCTGGTTATTTGAATGCATTAACTCACTTAGTTGTCACAATACTGTTATTAGGTAAATCTTGGAATGACTGCACAGAAACTCTTAGAGAGCTGAGGCTCTCATTCCCCAGGGGCTGGACATACTACCTGATGACAGCTTACAGCCAAGTCCCTCCCATCACATTGCCCAGGAGAAGGTGACTTTATCAAAAAGGTGCATCAATTAATGAAACAAAGTTGGGATTATTATATTTAGGATTAAGGTGTAATATAAAAAAGTTCAACAGTTAAAAAATATAACAATGATGAAATGAATTAAGAAATTTAAAAATATATAAATGAAATATATTGATAATATTATATTATCAATTACTCGATAATAAATTATTGAGTACTTGATAATAATATATTATCAAGTACTTGATAATAATATTTAAAATGTAGGGCAACTATTTTTCAAAAAAAGAAATAATACACATGCATATAAATATACAGAATGCCTTTTCAGATAATCATCTTTTGGAAGTAGAAAACTGTAAGGAACAAATAACACTATATGGTCAAACTTTTATTTAGCCTTACGTGCTGTATAACTTTAATTTGATTCAAGATATGTACTTCAATCCAAACAGAGAATGTTTCCCACTAGAAAGCAGGATCAACACCTAGGAGGTACATTTTAAAAACCAAATTTATGGTGAAGTCTTAAAACATATACATATTTGTCTCTCCTATATTTCTAGTTAATATTTTGATTAAAAGTTAAGAAAACAAAATTATCAAGCATGTACGTGGAATATTTCATATTTCGATAACAACATAGAAAGATTACATTTTTTTCCCCAATTTTCTAAAGACAGAGGAGATAGGTAAAAGAAGACTACACCAACTCTTGCTCATTAATAGGAAGTCAGAGTTTAATGGAAAGTCCTTGCTTAGGGTTATCTGACTTAAACCAAACATATATACTTATTTTATTTCCATTTCAAAAATACTTCATTTTTATATTATTTTTATAGGTTTAGGGGGTTTTGTTACAATCACATATTACGTACTAGTAAAGTTTGGGCTTTTAGTGTGTCCATCACCTGAATATTGAACATTGCACCCAACAAGTAATGTTTCAGTCTTCATCTCTCTCCCAGCATCCCACCTTTGGAAGTTTCCAGTGTCTATTTTTCCATGTGTGTACACACTGTTTTGCTCCCACTTACAAGTGAGAACATGCAGTATTTGAATTTCTGTTTTTGAATTATTTCACTTAGGTGAATGGCCTCCAACAAGCCTCTTTGGGTTGCTGTTTCTGTCTTGGCACGTGGGCACTCTTTTTACCCTGCCTGGATCGCAACACTGGACCCCTGCAACACGCCTTCCACTCCATTCACTCTGCTCAGGCTTTGACACCCCATGCCAGGCTTCTGTGCTTCACCCTACTCCCACACAGATGCCTACCTCGTTCCGATGTAGGGCTGAATTATTAAAAAGGGAAAATGTAAGGAAGTAAGAAGGAAGGGAGGACAAATGGGAGGAAAAAGTAAAAAGATTTTTGAACGCTGAAAAAGTAAATTTTTCCTATATTACCACTGAATGTGTACAAAAATTTCACACTAAATTTTGGCTCTTAATTTATTCCCTTTGGAAGTAAGGTATTCTGTTACACTATAAAATACCATATGCCAAATAATCTTGACCTTTTACAAGGCAAATAAGCCAATGAAATCTTGAACTGTGGTAGCTTCATATATTTGGAAATATTTATATTTTTTATGTATATATATCTTACATCTTATTTAAAATCACAGTACAGTTTCAGTGTTTGGATGCTGCAGGACAGATTAAGTTTTCTACCAAATATTAGTATTAAAGAACAGTCCCATAACATAAATCGTATTTATAAATGTTGATGTTTAAATGTATGTTTCCTATCTAAGGCTGAGTGAATCATTTTTAGATCTTCATTACAATTTCAATTGAATCCACCTTCTTCTAAAACAAATTCTTAGCCTGGAATTGTATAAAGTTTGGAATATTAGCAGAATTGCAGAATAATATTCAAAAAAGTTTTCCAATATTTTCTAACTCAGCTTTAATGCAAAACTTTAATTTTTATTATGGTTGGACAGAAGAAAACTCTCTAATTTAATATATTCACCAGAAGGATAGGAGTAAAATATATTTTTCAATGAACAATATTGCAGTAAGTATCATGAGATATGAAGGTGCGTGCACATTAAACATTACCTGTGAATTTCATGGAATTATTTAAACCTAATCAACATAATGTTTTAAATACCAAGTATTAATACACCCTCCCAAAAATTCTGGTCATTTATTAAGTTGTACCTAATGGAAAAACACATTATTTATAAAATAGCAATATACAATACTGGATCAATATTAATAACATTATATATACATATATATACACATATATTGATCCTATATCTAATTATTTATAAAATTATATACTAATTTAAATAAAAGTTGCATAATTTCCAAAGGCTTGGAATTAATTTGAGTAGTGAATGCTTCTTATTAGTATAGTTGATTCTTCAATTTATTATCAATGCATTTTGGTGAGACTTAGCACATTTCATTTTCTTATAATTTAATTTGCTTGTATAACAGTTTCTTCACATTTCTAAACTCTCATCTTGATTTTTTTTCTCCCTGCCTTCTTCCGTCAATTCTTTCCATGTAATCTCTTTTCTCCCTTCTCTATCAATGCGGTAAAATTTGAATTGGAGAATAGCAGCTTATCTAAGTTAAATAATAATTTGACATTATTAGCTTAAAAATTTCCCTTCGTGGCCTTTATGATTAATGACATTAATATTTACAATATATCTATATAGCAGTAAAAATGAACATCTTTCTGAATTTAATATAAAATTAAAGTTATAGATAAAATCTCTACCTGAAAAGGTTTTAAAATTTCTTTACAGAAGCTTTTAAGTCTGTTAAAATATAATATTACAATAATTTTCTGATATTACTTTACTTACTCTTAGAAGACTGTAAATCACATTTTTTCCATTTGAGCTATATAAACTTTTTTTTTTTTTGAGATGGAGTCTTGCACTATCGCCCAGACTGGAGTGCAGTGGTGCGATCTCGGCTCACTGCAACCTCCGCCTCCCAGTTTCAAGCAATTCTCCTCCCTTAGCCTCCTGAGTAGCTGGGACTTACAGGCACCCGCCACCACGCCAGGCTAATTTTTTTTTTTGTATTTTTAGTAGAGACGGGGGTTCACCATATCAGCCAGGATGGTCTAGATCTCCTGACCTCGTGATCCGCCCGCCTCGGCCTCCCAAAGTGCTGGGATTATAGGTGTGAGCTACCGCGCCCGGCCTATAAACTATTTTTTAAAATGTATTTTAGGATTCCTCACCAGTCTTGTAAAACATAGTGGCAAATTTTATAAATAAGTAAACAATATCTAGCTTTCTGGTTTTCATGAATTTTTTATTCTATCTGTTAGTATTTCTATATCTTTAAGCTTTAGAGGTAAAACTAGAATATTAACATATATATATATACACACACACAAAATAAAACATTTTCGCCACATTTATGTAACCTTCAATTTTCTATTTTCCTTCAGAAGTAAGATAGCTATTTGTACTTTCAAGACTAAAAGTTTAATATATATCAATTACAGTTCATTTTTTCTCAGAGTGTTTTGATTTGTAATTTTTTTGTCAGGATTCTGTCTTTACTTGAAATATAATTTAATTTCTTAAAACATATGTTCTCTATTTCTTTCACAGATATCTCAATTTTAAAGTTGGAGGGATTCGAATCAAGGTTTAAAGTCAGTCTTGATGAGTAAATACATTCTGTGTGCTCACTGTATAGCAGACACAATGAAGCAATCTCTATTGTTACTTATAAAAATGTAGAAGATATTTTTGCTAACATTTAAAATTACACGACACCCACTTTTTGGAAGTTCATATTTTTCTTATAGACACGCTGAAGTCTAAGGTTTTGGGAAATTTTTATGGATGCAAAATTGTTGAACATATTTACAGGGAACATGTGACAATTTGATATAAGCAGACAACATATAATGATCAAATCTGAGTAACTGGCATGTCTGTTCTTTCACACATTTGTCATTTCTTTGTGTTTGGAACATTCCAAATCTATCCTTCTATTCTGAAATATACAATAACTCATTGCTAACTATTATAGCCCTATTGTACTACTGAACAGTATATCTTATTCTTTGTAATCAACTGTAGTTTTGTGCTCCTCGAGTAACCCCTCTGTATACCCTCCTTCCCAATACACTATCAAGCCTCTGGTAACCACAGTCTACCAGATACCTCCAAGAGATCCATTGTTTTATCTCCCACATATAAATGAGACTACTTTATCAACTGAAATTTTCTTTTGCTTTCAGAAATATTGTGTGAGATCTCACAAAGTATTGTGCTACACTTACCAGCCAAAGCAAGAATGTATTCTTGAAATCTTGTTCCTATGCGATTAGTGGCTGTGCAATTATAGCGTCCAAAGTCATTGTCAGATGTAGGTGCAATCTGAAATAATTATAATAACAAAAGTTACAATTCTAAAACATCACAGAAGTTTTAAAATAAACCCCAGTATGACTACCACTTTCACGTTTCATTTTTTTACCCAACAACTCCTTACCATATATTTTTAATTTTCTTTATCAAGTAAGCATTACTAAATAATATAAATCCTTTTATGATGTATCCATGGGCCTATAATATCCATAGGACTAGGCAAATCAGAATTTATCTATTAATTCATTAAGTAAACAAATGGCACCACTTTGATGTATCTATTAAATAGCAAAACCAATAGATCTACATATATGTAAAGCTCAGAAAGTAGTACACACACAGTTTGAAATGTGTGTGTGTGTGTATATATATATATATAGTTTGCAGTCAATGTAGGTGTAAACTTGAAAACAGGAAGCTTGTAATAAAAGCATTGTTAACTGTTTTCTACGTTTTGGCCTCAGACCAGTTTGTTTCAAAGTTCAAGAAAGGCTCCAAATATGTGATATTTCTCTCCCTGTTTTGAGTTATTGAACATATAATAGTAATGAAGGAGGAAGGATCATTCTTAAAGAAATCTTTCCAGGAACATATTGTGCAAGAAAATGTTGCTCTTTGCAACAATACTTATAGACAGGTACTTTTTCTCGCTATCTAATAACAGTATCTTGCCTGCATTTCTGTTCAATTCCTATCATTCTTTTTTCAGTCTAGGTAGAAAATAGCTGACCTCTATCCTTACACATTTGAAATCCATAATTAAGTTAACCTTTAGGGATTCTATTGGTGAACACTGAGACAAACCCTGTAATTCTAATGTACAGAAATTCTGAAGTATCAATTTAGATAAGAGATTTGATGATAGTAATAGATATAATTTTCAATCTCTGTAACTATTATTAAGAGAGAATATGCTTACAAGAGTTGCTGTTAATTTCAACTCTATCCCAAAAGAGGGAAAAATGATTTTGTGGTAATGGGAGGCTATTAACTAAGAGTGCAATTTTGAGGTCCATTGAAGATGATAATTCTGAAAGAGTACAGAAAAGCTGTGTCATTCATTTTCTAGTCAGCTGTCCATCTAGAAACAATCATAGGAATGAGCTTAGCATTTGTAACAGCTCTTACATAATTACTGCTAAGTGATTAAAATATTCCTTTTTCTTATGTGTAGCTTTTAATAAGCAAGGCTAATTTAACGCTAAACTAATTGTTCCAATGAGAAATGGATTTAACCAAAAATTCTTATTCTACATGCATATGAGAAAGTTATTTGCAAATTCAACAGAGAAGAATGTGTTCACTGAATCAATACAATGCCAAGACAGGATAGCCACAACAAAGAAACGTGACTATTACACAGCTCCTTAAGATTAATAATTTAAGTAGAGCCATTTTCATTGGAACAATTGCTTAAAAGCTCAATTCTTTTTTTTTTTTGGTGGTGTTCTTGGGAATTCAGCTATCAACAGATAAAAGTTTATCTTAAATAAGGAATCTTTTATCATGTTGTATGCTTAATAAATAAAGAAAACACCCATCATGGCATAGATTCACACACACATACACATACACACACACACACACACACACACATCCACACACATGCTCTAGATATAATCTGGCCAAATCATGTACCCTGAAGCTTATTTGATGTATTCTAGGAAAGCAACATAAAACCAAAGTCCAATAGTGGTTTTACACTTAAACCCAGCACAATGAAATGTTACATAATTGTATGAAAATATAAGATGACAAGGGTATATTATAAAACATCAAGTAAAAATATTTAAATGTTTAAAAAGTGCAAAGCATTGAAAATATTAATCAAGAAACATCTACTGGTAAACATTTACTGATAAACATCTACTAGAAACATCTACTGATAAAACTATTTCTTCATATTTAAATACAGGCATACC